CCTTCGGCGCGCGGTAGCTGCCCGCGACAGGGGTCGATGTAGGGCTGTCGGCGGGGGTGACGCTCCCCCGACGCTCATGAAGAAACTCGGAAACTCGGAGCATGGAACAGGAATGGAGGAGGTGGTGGAGGAAGAGGAGGAGGAGGAAGGGGAGGAGGAGGAGGAGGATGAGGAGGACGAAAAAGAAGAAGAGAAGGAGTCTGGACCTTGCGCGGTAAGCACCCGTTCTGGCTTCGAGGAAGCGGAGGACAAGGAGGTGGAGGAGGAAAGGGCCTTCGGCGACTCGGCGCGCCTCTGGCAGCTGGCTTGTTCTTTCGCACGGCGTGAGAGCTCATGATGTCGGAGGTATGGGAAGGCCTCGTCTTCGAGAGATCCAGAAGCTGATGTATCTTCCTCGGCAGATGCCGGCGGAGGCAAAACGGAGGCGGCCCCGTTGGCGAAAGGTTGGCGGAAACCGACCGAAATCAAGGATGCGCCAGAATATATGCCACGTTTGGCGGGGATGCGGGGTGTCCAGAACCCGCCATGTGGGGTCGACCTCGTTCATGCATGGGTTTGCCCTCTTTATTGTTCTTCCTGAGCCGAGGCCGAGAACCTTGGGCAGCGGGTGCTTGACAGGAGGAAGAGGGACGCCCGCGGCCCTGAACTCGGAGAGTTCGGCGCGGCCTAACCCGTTTTGCTCTCATCAGTCCGTGGGACCGCTTTCCTGATGCATGGTAGGTTTGCTGGCCTCGGCTGGTGCGGTGCTCGTCCTGCCAAAGCCGGCCCCCCGACCTGTTCCGGGGGGTGCGTTTCGATTGGGGGTTCGGGGCGGATCCAGCCGTGACCCTGGGATTTCGAGGTGGACCCAGTTGGGGCGACGAGAGGCCTCACGGCGGAAGGTGCCCAAAGATGTAGAAGTCTCGATCCTGTATTTCCCTACCTAGGCTCTGCCTAGAAGGGTTCTTACTCTCTAGCTTAAAGGGGCCGGGCAGTGGAAAGCGCCGCGGGCGGTTCCCCCAGTCCCCGGGGAGCGGTTCCCCCCAGTCCCCTGGGAGCTTTAATTTTAGCTTTACACCGCACTCACATCTATACCCCTGGGTGGGTGTATGTGCGGCCGTTTTTGCGCTGTCATGTGCGCGCATGTGCGCGGCATGTGCCAGTCATGTGCCAGGCCTGTGCGGTCCTTCTTGGATGGACTTCCTACTGTGCACGTCGTGCCCGGGCATGTGCGGGGGCATGTGCGCTGTGTTTTGATGTATCCATCATACGCACATGCACGCACAGTCCGACGCACATGCGCGCACATGCCTGCACATGCGGGAGGTGTTCGAGAATCGCAGATCTGTCATCGGCACATGCACGCACATGCCTGTGCAACCTCTCTTCGGGAGGCCGCGCGGGCCCGCACATGCACGCACATGCGGTGAAGCGCGCGGGCGCACATGCGTGCACATCCCAATGCACATGCACGCTCATGCCCTAGGAGCTGTCTGGGACCCCTGTGCCTCCAATGCCTCCTGGCCTTCGCAGAGCTAACCTGGGGCGTGCCAGGGTTCCTGAAAGAGTTTGTTGTGCGTTTAGACTCGCCCGCTGCTGGCGGGGGCGGTTATTCGCCCGGTTCGTGAGCTGGCGGTGGCGCGCCCGCCTAATAAAATACTCTCCCGCGCGCCTTCTCAGCTCGGCCGGAGAAGCAGGGATGGGGGGGGGGAGGTGGAGTGGGGGGGGAGGAGGGGGGGGCGGAGGAGGCGGGCGCCCCCGGCCACTGGCCAGCCTGCTTGTTCGGCTCGGCCAGAGGAGAAGGAGGAGGAGGAGGAGGAGGAGGAGGAGGAGGAGGAGGTGAGAGTTGCGAGGCTGTCTCAGGCGAAAGTGGCTTGACGGCCCGAGCTCAGGGAATCTCGGAATCGCTGGCCTGGCTCGGCCACCGGCAAGCTCGGCCTGTGCGAATACTGCGCGTACCTGTGCAGTGCATGCGCGGGACGTGCAAGAATGCCGGGGCCGGCGTTCGTCTCCGGACGCCAGCGCGTTCGCGTCCGGCCAGTTCCGCGTGAGACGTCGTCGGCAATTTGGAGGCCGACGTGCTTTGACATGAAGTGATCTGGCCACCTTCGCCTGAGACATCCTCGCAACTCTGGTCTCGGAGATGCCCTGCCCCATGGTGGCCCGGCCACTTTCGCTTGAGACATCCTCGGGACTCTGGGTTTCGAGACGCCCTGAGCTGAGGTGGTTAGACCACTTTCGCATGAGACATCCTCGCAACTCTGACCTCAGAGATCTCCTGCCCCATGCTGGTCAGGCCACGGTCGCCTGAGACATCCTCGCAAGTCTCGATTCCGATATGCCCCGAGCTGAGGTGGTCAGCCACTGTCGCCTGAGACATCCTCGCAACCCTGATCTCAATGATGCCCTGCTCGATAGTGTCTCGGCCCCTTTCGCCTGAGACATCCTCGGAACTCTGGGTTCCGAGACGCCCTGAGTTGAGGTGGTTAGACCACTTTCGCTTTAGACATCCTCGCCCGAGATGCCCTGAGTTGAGCTGTTCAGGCCACTTTTGCCTGAGACATCCTCGCAACTCTGACCTCAATGATGCCCTGCTCCATAGTGTCTCGGCCTTTTTCGCTTGAGACCCTCGCAACTCTGGGTTCTGAGATGCCCTGAGCAGGTGGTCAGGCCAGTCCTGCCTGAGACATCCTCGCAACTCTGGGCTCCGAGATGCCCTGGGCTGAGGTGGTCAGACCACTCTCCCCAGAGACATCCTCGCAACTCTGACCTCAGAGATCTCCTGCCCCATGGTGGTCAGGCCACTTTCGCTTGAGACATCCTCACAACTCAGACCTCGGAGGTGTCCTGCCCCATGGTCGTCTGGTCACCTTGACCAGCGACATCCTCGCCACTCTGGTTTCCAAGATGCCCTGCCCCATGGTGATCCGGCCACGCTTGCCTGAGACATCCTCGGAACTCTGGGTTGCGAAATGCCCCGAGCTCAGGTGGTCAGGCCACTATCGCCTGCGACATCTCTGCGGCATGTGCGGGCATGTGCGTCTATGCTTTCAGAGTTTTGCTTGACCGTGCATTCGACTGTGCGTCGGACGGTGTGGCATGTGCGCGCATGTGCGGCAATGCTGTTGAGGCTGTTGTATCTTTGCATGGGCATGTGCATGCGACTGTGCGGCATGTGCCTGCATGTGCGGCCCCTTCCGGACCACAATTTCAAAGTGAGCACTATAGAAGTGAGCGCTATAGAAGTGAGTCCGGTGTAGCTTTAGCTTTAGCTTAGCTTTAGCTTAGCTTTAGCTTAGCTGTAGCTTAGCTTTAGCTTAGCGTTTCGCTTAGCTTTTCGCTTAGCGTTTAGCTTAGCTTTAGCTTAGCTGTAGCTTAGCTGTAGCTTAGCTTTAGCTTAGCTTTAGCTTAGCTGTAGCTTAGCTTTAGCTTAGCTTTAGCTTAGTTTTAGCTTAGATTTAGCTTAGATGTAGCTTAGCTTTAGCTTAGCTGTTGCTCAGTCTTAGCTTAGCGTTAGCTTAGTTTTAGCTTAGCTTTAGCTTAGCTTTAGCTTTAGCTTAGTTTTAGCTTAGCTGTGGCTTAGTTTTAGCTTAGCTTTAGCTTAGTTTTAGCTTAGCGTTACTGTTACTACTAATGCTGCTTTCCTAGGGGTTCCAACTCCTAGGTAGGGTCGCACTGGGATAATTCTAGACGCTTCGCGTAACCCCACCAGCCCATCCAGAAACGATGCCCAGAGGAAATGCCTCGATCAGGGAAGTGGGCAGCACACAAAGGAAGGGTACCCCAGTGGAGGCCGGTTGGAGCGTCTTAGGGGCCTCTTGGCGGTCCCGGACGCCTCTTAGAGCGTCTTGGGTGCTTTGGAGAGCTTCTTGGGGCCTCTTGGGGGTCTCTTGGGGGCCTCTTGGAGGCCTCTGGGGCGCTTGTTGGGGCCTCCTGGGGCCTCATGGGCGCCTCGTGGGGCCCTCTTGAAGCGCTCTTGGGAGCCTTCAGACCGCTCTTGGAGCCCTCTTGGGCCATCTTGGAGTCATCTTGAAGCCTCGGATGGCCATCGGAAGCGAAAAGGCGAGAAAGCCCAAAATGTTGATTTTCCAAAGGTTTTGGAAGGATTTTGGCCTCTTCGGGGCCTCCTGGGGGAGCTCTTTGGCCACTTGGAGCCGTCCTGAAGCGGTCTTGGGGCCTCTTGGAGCATCGTGGGAGCCATCTTGAGGCATCTTGGGATATCTTGAGCCATCTTGGAGGTCATCTTGGGCTCTCCCAGGCGCTCTTGGAGTCATCTGAAGCAGTGCCACCCCCCCCAGGAGGCCCAAATGTGGCCAAAACCTTAGTAAAATCAATGATTTGGGCATTCTCGCCGAGGCCTCTTGGAGCGTCTTGGGTGCCTCTGGGGGGTCTCTTGGGGCCTCGTGGGGGTCTCTTGGGAGCCTCTTGGGGGCATCCTGGGGGCCTCTTGGGAGCTTCTTGGGGCCACATGGGGCCATCTTGGGGCCATCTCGGGGCCTCTTGGGGCATCCTGGGGGCCTCTTGCGGCCATCGTGGAGGAAATCGATGAAAGAAGAGGGGAGCTCTAATTAGCGCTGCCCCCTCAGAAGGCCAAAATGGGGCCAAAACCATAGTAAAATCAATGATGTTTGGCTTCCTCGCCGAGGCCGTTTTGGACGCTCTGACCGCTCGCGGCCCCTCCTGTCCAGGTCAGTGGGGAGGGGGTAGGGGGAGGGGTAAACCCCTCCCCGAAGGGGAAGAGGGAGGGGTGGAAGAGGAAACGCCCTTAACCACCGACGCCCAGAGGGCTGGTGGGATTCGATATTTGTTTTTTTTTTTGTGGCGGAGGATATCCTCCCTATCCTCCAAATCATCCTCCTCCTCCTCCCCCTCCTCCTCCACCTCCTCCACCTCCGACCCCCCTCCCCCGCCTCCTCCTCCTCATTCTCCTCCTCTTCTTCCTGCTCCTCCTCCTCTGACCCACTCCTCCGCCTCCTCCTCCGCCTTCTTCCCCCCTCCTCCTTCCCCCCTCCCTCTGCGAGGTCCTGCTCTGCCGCGACCCGCGCCGCCCGCTCCGCCACGTGGCCCTCAAGACGGCGCGCCGCCCAGGAGGTCCTTGGCCCGTTGGCCAGGGCCCGTCGTCCCCCATCCGCCCTTCGCGGGGAGGGGGGCCCTGGTGACGTGCCAGGGCTCCCTCCTCGTCCTCCCTTTCCCCCTCCCCGCTTTTCTCCTCCCTCCCTCCTTCCCTCCCTCCCTCCTCCTCGTCCGCATCCCCGTCAAAAAGAAGATACATGGGTATGCACCCAAGGAGGTCCGATCTCACGATCTAGCCGGGCCCGTGGCGCTAATCCACAGCCTTGCAGTTCACGCCAACAAATATTATCCTCATCCCTCTCCCTCCCTTCCTCTCCCTCCTCATCATCCTTCATCCCTCCTCCATCCTCCCTCCTCCCCCCATCCCTCCCCTCATCCTCCTTCTCCTCCTCCATCCCTTCTCCTTTTAGATAATGTTTCCCTGTCGCACCCCGAGGCTCGTTTTTTACGGCGGGCTGGGCATTTCGCCTGAGACTTCTTCACCACGTATGGCCTTGAAATTTAACATTCGCTACAGTTTCACAGATGGAGGGGGGACTGTTTTCAAAGTTGCCTCTCGCCTCAGCGCCGCGCACCTTCGTTGCCGCTTATAGTTTGCAAGAGCTTTACGGATTGAGGGTGAGTAGCTTTCAAACTGTGGTTCTCATTGTGGCGCCGCGCACACTCAGCTTAGAAAGTGTGCAAGAGCTTCACGGATTGAGCGACTAGCTGGCGGCGTTTCGGCGATTCATCTTCGACATGGACCTTGCTTGCGGGGCTGGATGCGCCGAAGAAGAGTATCCCTGCCCTCCTTGTCTGACTGACCGATCCTGGTCGATGCCGCACCCCCATGATGCCTGCAGGACTCCCAGTGACGCCCGAAGACACCAAGAACCTCCTCGATCGTTCCTCCTCCTCGACCTTCGACTCACAGGAAGAGACGGTGACCCCCCACACATCAGTTGTTTAAAATCAGCATTTGGGGATCCCCAGATCCGCATCTGCTTTAGGCGCCTTTCTACTTGAAGTGCCGAGCGGTTTCCCCGTTTCCCTTCCTCGGTTGGAATCCGATCAGGTTTCAACGCTTTCGGATTTCATGCTTCTGCGTGCCCACTCCTCCCGAAGGGTGGTTATCGGTGATCCCCCCCTGGCACTGCCCGAGTTCGACGACGACGACGACCACGACGACGGCGACGACGACGGCGACGGCGACAACGGCGACGGCGGCGGCGGCGGCGGCTGCGGCGGCGGCGGCGACGGCGTTGCCTCCTGCCATCTGAGGTGACCTGCGACCAGCTGTCCCCCGAGGCCGCCGAGCGAGTGCGGCGGGCCGCGCTGGACGAGGCCGAGCGCCGCCCGCCGAGGATCGGGGCTCGAGGGCCGAGCGTCGACCCTCGGACCTCGAGCCTCGAGCTGCCCCCCCCCCTCCTCCTCCTCCTCCTCCTCGGATGTGCTTGCGCGCTGGACTTGGGCATCGAAGCTGAAGCGTCTGACGTCCTCCTCCTCTTCCTGCTCCTCCTCCTCCTCCTCGTCCTCCTCCTCGCTTGAGAGAAAGTAAGCGCGAGCATGGTTGAGCTTCTGGGGTCCGCGCGAATTTCTTGGATCGGGGCTGGGCCCCCCCCGACGGCGCCTCTGGCGGCGCCCTTGGCAAACTCCGCGCGCCAGGCAGGAGGGGGGGGTCAGCACCGATCCAAGAAATCAGCTGTTCCTCTACAGTCGGGGCGCTGAAGAAGGGACCCTTTTCGTTTGGGAGGGGTTCCGTGTTCCTTAATTGTTTCACCGTTTGCCTTAGATGTACCTTCGGTTTTCGATCAGAAGTCAAAGTTAAACTTAAGGACACAAAGGGGCCTCGTTCCTAATTTAGGGTTCCTCAGGTCTGCGCCCCGACTGTATCTTCCTCCTTGTCTTCCTGCCCCGCCTCCCACTCTCCGCTGCTCTCCTCCCGCCTTTCCGCCCCCAGGAGTCTCCAGAGCGACAGAGAGGGTCAGGAATTGTCATCATGAGCATCTATCCTCGAGCCTCTCTCTGCCACTCCTCCTCATTCTTCCTCCCCCTTCTTCCACCTTCCGCCCCCGTCCTCCTCCCCCCCTCCTTTTGCCCCACCTCCTCCTCCCCCTCTCGATCGCCTCGCTCCCCTCGCCTCCTTTCTGCCCTTTCTCTTCATCCTTCCTCCCCCTGCCTCCCTCCTTCCCTCCTCCCCCTCCCTTCCTCCTTTTGCCCCCAGGCCCGCGCTCGACGAGGCCGAGCGTGGGCAGGGCCCACACCGATCCCATCGATGCGCTTCGATGTTGATCCTGGCCGGCTCGGTCCGACGGGGCTCCGGCACAGCAGATACATCAGGATGAGGGGGGCGAACGGTCTTATACCATCTTGAAGTGCGTGGCTGAAGTGAGATTCCGCGGCGCAGAGTATGTTTGCTTGTTGTTGTTGCTGCTGTTGTTGGTGCTGCTGTTGATTCTTCATTGCTAAAGAATTTCTATAGTTGGACACCCTTCATCCGCCCAGGTGCTCTCGCTTCGGGCGCCAGCTGCATGTCCTTTGAAGATTCGGCCCAGGCCGCCGAAACGCCCCTCCGAACAACAACAACAACAACAACAACAACAACAATCATTTTACCCGAACGCGTGGTGTTCTCCCCAGTGCCAGGGTTTTCATACGACACCAGGCAATACCCCCACTTCGTGGGGGGGCATTACAAGCTCTACCAAATATCCAAACGACTCTTCGCGACCACCCAAACCCAGCTTCCCGCCCTATGACGTTGGGACACTTCACTTCGTGGCGTGCGGACGACCGTGGCTACTACACTGGCGTGGGGTACACACCCACAGAAGTTGTGAAGCCTACGTTCGTACACCCACAGAAGTTGTTAAGCCTTGTTAACCCACAGAAGTTGTTAAGCCTTCCACAGAACATCTGTTGCATATGATGCATATGATACATGCGCGGTGCTAAAATTCTTAAGAAGCCCAATGGTTTTTGGAGATTTCGGCGTGCGCGCGCGAAGAAAAAACGAATGTGTCCCGCATGGTATTATTTGACAGGGATGATGGCCCTGGCAGGTGCGCAACCGTTGTCGCAGAAGTTCGAAAAAGTTGCTCGCAAAAGCCCGTTTGACAGAAATGTTTAAAAAGTGTTGGGTTTCCTACGAATCCGCAAGAGCGCGCGGGATGAGATTTTGACATTTTTTTGTTGAAAAACCATTGGTTTTTTGATGTTTTTATGTTAAAATCGCTCCGAACACTAAGCTTTTGGAAGGATTTCGTCTTGCGCGCGCGAATGTCCACTTTACCTTATTTTTTGCAAGGGATTCTTGAAATTTGATTATATTAGAACAAGAAATGTCATTTTATAGTGTTTTTTGCAAGGGAAAACGGATTACAACAAAACAACCGGATCTTGATCACCTCGAATTACCTGAGGCTTCCTCACGAAAATGATGAAAACGTGGCTGCGGCCTAGGCGCGGCGGGGGGGCGCGCACCAGGGGGCCCAACAATAATTATTCTTTAGAATTAATGTTCAACAACAACAACCATTTTAAGGCTGTACGCTCTTACTTGCCCGCGAGTCATTCAACACGTATACCCTACACCCTCGATGCCCGCCCTCTTCGTCTTCGATCACACCCCTTTCGGGGGGATTATTTCTCTTTGCTGGGGCCGGCGGGCTTAGACGTACGGGCAAACCGGAACGGGCGGACAATCCTTCGGGGGCGTACATCTCTCTGCCCGCCATTGGAATTGGCGCGGGCCCTGCAAGAGGAGGAGGGGAAGAACGAGGGAGAGTGGGAGGAAGGGGAGGGGGAAGGACGAAGGAAGAGGGAAGATACCACGTTGTGAAGGCGTCCTTGGCGCGCGCGTGGTTCCTGAGCGCCGAAACGCAATTCCATAATAATTTGTGAGGACGTCGCACGCGAGAGCGCAGTCCTGAGTACATTGTGAGGAAATCTCAGGCGGAAGCGGGGGCCCTGACTAAGTTGCGGGGAAGTCTCAAGCGGGAGCGCCGTTCCTGAGCAAATTGCACGGAAGTCTCAGGCGGGAGCGGGGGTCATCACTAAATTGCGAGGAAGTCTAAGGCGGGAGCGCCGTTCCTGAGTCAATTGCGCGGAAATGTCAGGCAGGAGCGGGGGTCCTGAGTAAAATCCGAAGAAGTCTCAGGCGGGAGCGCCGTTCCCACGTAAATTGCACCGAAGTCTCAGGCGAGAGCGGGGGTCTTGATTACATTGCGTGGAAGTCTCAGACGGGAGCGCCTTTCCTGAGTAAATTGCGCGGAAGTCTCAGGCGGGAGCGGGGGTCCTGAGTAAAAATCGAGGAAGTCTCAGGCGGGAGCCGTTGTTGTTGTAGCCCGGGGGGCAGGGACACAGTTTGAGCAGGAAGATTTTCTTTGAGAAAAAACAAGGTGCGAGCCCCGGGGGTGGCACTTCAATCGAAAAAAAACAATGTGCACCGGTGGGGGGGGATCAACAATAATTATTCTTCAAGAATGAGAGTTCAACAACAACAACAACAACAACAACAACAACAACAACAACAATTACTAGCACGTGGGGACACTCCGTTCTCACCAGTGCCAGGGTTTTCATAGGAGGCGGGCAATACCCCCACTTTGTGGGGGGGCCGGTTCAAGCTCTACCAAATTTCCAAACGACTCTTCGCCACCACCCACACCCAGCTTCCCGCCCTATGACGTTCGGACACTTCACTTCGTGGCATGCGGACGACCGTGGCTACTATTCAGGGCCCCGCGGCCGACGACGACGGCGTGCGCGCGCGAAGAAAAAACGAATGTGTCCCGCATGGTATTATTTGACAGGGATGATGGCCCTGGCAGGTGCGCAACCGTTGTTGCAGAAGTTCGAAAAAGTTGCTCGCAAAAGCCCGTTTGACAGAAATGATTAAAAAGTGTTGGGTTTCCTACGAATCCGCAAGAGCGCGCGGGATGAAATTTTGACATTTTTTTTTGGGAAAACCATTGGTTTTTTGATGTTTTTATGTTAAAATCGCTACGAAAACTAAGGTTTTGGAAGGATTTCGTCTTGCGCGCGCGAATGCCACTTTACCTTATTTTTTGCAAGGGATTCTTGAAGTTTGGCTATGTTTAGAACAAGAAATGTCCATTTTAGTTTATTTTTTGCAAGGGAAAACCGATCGTAACAACATAACCGGATCCGGACTCCCCCGTTTTGCTTGAGACCTCCTCACGAAAATGATGAAAATGAGGCTGCGGCCTAGGCGCGGCGGGGGGGTCGTGCACCAGGGGCCCCAACAATAATTATTCTTTAGAAGTAATAATGTTCAACAACAACAACAACAACAACAATAACTAACAAGAGCAATAACAACAACAACAACAACAACAACAACAACAACAACAGCAGCAGCAGCAGCAACAACAACAAGAACAACAAGAACAACAAGAACAACAAAAAGTTTAAGACTGTTTGCCCTTATTTACTCGAGTGTCCAATAACGCGTATTTCCCAAACCCTCGATACCCGCCCTCTTCGTCTTCGATCGAACCCCTTTTGGGGGGTATACCTTTCTTCCCTGCAGGCCGGGCCCCAGCAAGCGGCGGGGCGGCCGCGGACCGTCGGCCTGGCCAGCGGCAGCGCTGATCGGCGGGGCGGCCGCGGACCGTCGACCCGACCCCAAGAGGGACGGACAGGGGACCGACCACGACGACGACGACGACGACGACGACGTCGAGGACGACGGCCACGACGACGGCGACGACGAGCGAAAGCGAGAGCGAGAGAGAACGACAGCAGGGCCACGAAGGGCACGAAGTAGGCCACGAAGGGCGACGGCGGGGACACGAAGGGAATGCGTATGGGGCCACGAGAAGCGCGAACGAACGGGGGCCACGAAGTGAAGATAATGCGGGACCACAGAAGGCAACTATGGGGCCACTAAGGGTAGCAACTGGGCCACGTAGGACAGTGAGGGGGACACAAATGGCGACAGCGGGGCCGCGAAGGGCATGCACATGGTGCCACAACGGGCGCGACTCCTGGGTACCTGGGTGTCGGGAGCGCGGCGCTTGGGCAAATTGCAGGGAACTCCAACGCAAGGCCATTCTTCAGTAATTTGCAAGCAAGTCTCCAGCGAGAGCGCGACTCCAGAGGGCCGGGAGAGCGATTCCTGATTATCCCAGTGCGACCCGACCTAGGAGTTGGAGCATTTAGGAAAGCAACATCTACATCTACACCGACTGCTACATTTACATCTACATCTACACCGACAGCTACATCTGCTATACTATGCTATGTCATGATATGCTATTATATGCTATGCCATGCGGCGCTATGATATGTTATGATATGCGTTGATATGCTGCGCTATG